AAGAGCTTGTGCAATACAGTGATAAGCTATAGTTTCAAGTTGTTCAGGAAAGCGTTAACCAATGGTAGATATAATTTTAAATCAAATGTACTAATAATTGAAGAGCTTGTGCAACATAAGTGCTGACTTACATTTTCAAATTGTTCAGGAAAGTGTTTTCGGTAGGACTGGGCTATAAATCGATATATCGCGACATATCGATTTAACGCCTATATCGGCAAACCGATACAGCAACTTTCATTCCAAGCGATGCATCAGAAATCTGATTTAAGCCNAATCAATATGCGTATGAAGTCATGATAGAAATCTGACTTTCTGTGCCTTAAAGTAAATTAAATTCAAAAATACTATACCGCGATACATCGCTATATCGCGATGCAAAACTGACGATATATCACGATATATAATTTCTAATATCGCCCAGTCCTAGTTTTCGGTGAAAAAAAAAACTTTTTTCATGTAGGCAATTCAATGATTCTGTGTGTATCAGTAGAAATCCCAGAAACTTGTCTAGTATCTATCCGAATGGATAATGCTGAACGCGAAAATGCCATTTTTGTAATAAATGTGGCTTATCATTATATTGCTCCAACTCCATCAGTTATATTTCAGGTAGTCAAAATATAACTTGCATTAAAGCAATCAGTTCCAAGCAAACTTTATAATAGCTGTTCAATACTTAGTTTAAATGAATATTAGTTGAAAATTATAAGAATATGTGGACGAAAGAGATATGAGACGTTTAAAATTTGAGATGTTTAGAATTTAAGAAGTTTAAAATTTTTCAAGCCACGAATTATGTGTCTGCAATAGTACAAGTCGCATTTATCCATTCTCAAAATGAAATAACTTTAACTAAACTCTATTTTAAACGCATTTTAGATTTAATTTTAAGCTTCACTTTTTTTTCGTTTAAGAAACAGAGTGAAGCACATTAAAAACAGGAAATAAACTTTATATTTCCTTTCGCAAAAATTCGAAATCCTTTCACCAAAGATAATCATAAAATTCTAACAATAAAAAGAACCCATATGTCTTTAGGACAAATTTGGAACAAGGTATTCTTTTGTTTTCTCCACACTTTTAATAGAATTCATCGAAGCATGAGACTTTCGAACAGAAATTAGCTAGTCATTAATTACTTTTTACTTGGTCAAGAACAAACGATTCTTATTATGCTTTCTGCAATTGCCATTTATCTTATTTATAAAGGTTTATTCCGATTTGGGAGAAATTCCAAAAGTAGTATTTCAACAGAGTAGTTTTATTTCAAAAAGGGACTTTGACCCTTCCGGAAAGTGAAAAAAAGAAATAATAAAAAAAAAGTATGCGACTACTGACACGGTTTTCTGACGACAGTTTTGTTGTTTCATTTACAGTACCTTAGAAGTTACGATCTGATGCACCTGGCAACGTTTTGTTCGACAGACGATTTTCTTGACGTTTATGAGAGTGTTCTGAGTGTAAGATGGGTGTATTTCTGTTTTGCTGTTAAAAGAAATTATTACAATAACAATGGTGTTCTTTATAATAAAGGGTCGTATCTACAGATTGAGGTTGGAATATAGGTGAAGTTCACGATGGTTTTTTTTATTCTGCGTAGGTCATCGAATGATGGAAGAACACGGTAGTTGGGTTGTCATATATGTTAAAGGGTGATGTTTGAAATGGAATCTATTGATGTATTTACATTAAAATCCGGTTTAAAATGGACAATACAGCTACTTAAATAGGTTCGTTCACTCAACCAATGTCTAATAACACAAATTCAAAGTGTAAAAAGATTATCAATACAGATATAATTACAGAACTCTATACATAAATAAGTAAAGCGACTTTTTCTTAAAAACTACTAAAAACTAAAGATTTAAAATTTTAAATACTAGTGAAAATTTAAGTTAAAATTTATGTATTTTTAGAAATTGGTGGTTCGTATCTTAGACTTACCTACATAGCTAGGCAACTTTTCAGATTTATAAGGATCATTTTCGTGAAATATTAAAATAATAGTGAAATGACAGCAAAAGTTGGCAATATTTTTTCAAATATAGCCAGCATTTAAATACAATTATGCACCTCTATTTGGTCATTTCTGCATATGAATGAGTTATTCATGTACCGTGGTGGTCAAAATCTTTTTATTAGAAAAATAAGTGTTTAAGCATAAAATTTATTGTCTTCCGTGAAACCAAAAAAGTTAACTGCTAAAAGTTAACAGGGTATAAGATATGAAAGTAGCTCTACGAAAAAAAAGGTTTCCTAGTCCTTTTAAAATAGTAAATAAATAAAAAGTAGGTCAACCCGTTTTTTTTTTAAACGAAGTAGCATGTGCAACTAAAAGAAAAAATTATTCGTTTTATCAGTGAAGCAAGTACATTCAATTAGTGAATTAATGAAATGGACGAATCAGTTTAAAAATAAATCCACGAACATAGTTTCTTTGTTTTTATTCGTTATTGAATGATCTCAGATTTAACAAACTTTTATTAGCAATTTTCTATTATTCTAAAAACAAAATCTTATGTAATTGTTTGTAGAAAAGGTAATTTTTCTTTGGAACTATCATGACATCAACTGTTTAAAATTTGTATTTGTATCCACTTCTTTTTAACAATTGTAACGAGAGAAAAAATTTCCATTTTAAATTTTGTTTTAATTTTGTATTTATTTTAAATATGTAAGAATTGTTACATTTCAATAACGATTTGTTAAAATAAATTCTAGACTCGACTTAACATCTTGAGTTTGCGTTAGAAGACATATCATTCCAAGAAATATAATATTTCTCATTGCTCATTAAAACTCATTACTCATTAAAAAATGTAAATTTAATGTATTCAATAATAAGAATTTGTTTTGATAAATTCATATATGTATACAATTTTTACATGGTTTTATTTGTAACGTAAATTTCTTTTTTTACTCTCGTGTTGAATAAAAGTGGTGCATTTATATGTTACTTTTCTTCAAACCAAAAATTAATGCATGAAATTATGTGATTTAAGAAACTGTCTACTTTTTTTAGATTACGAGTAAGTTATATTATGTTTTTTTTTTTGCATTATTGTGCTTCCTAAACTACTAAGGTTAAGCAGATTTTGAAATAATAGTTACATTAAATAAATATCGAGTTTTATTGGACATATATTAAAGATAGATTTTTATTTAGTCACATTTATTTTAAACAAATATTTTTAGGCAAAATATAATAATATAATTATCTTTATTCAAGAAACTTGTATTGAATAGTCTTGAATAAATGTTTCATGTTTCATATTAATGTAAAAAATATATATTTATTTTTTAATATTTGTGGTATTTGGTGTAAATATATAGAATACTTATAAATAACTTCGAGGAAAAAAAATATTTTGATCTAAACCAATTAAAAAGTTTCAGAAACCAAACTTGCGATAACAAGCAGCTTTAAAAAAAGTTTAAAAATATCAATTTCATAAAAAAAATTTCTATAGATACTTTTTGTTACAAAATTTTAAAAAAGGAATTTAAAAAAAAAGCGTGCTTTAAACGAAATGTCTCTTTCAGAAACAATTTCTGTCTCATATGTAACATTTTTAAATTACCGGAGAATATTTTTAGAAAAACAATTAATCAACAAATACTTAATATCAAATACATAAAATATCCCGCAATTGTATTTAAAATGATTTCCCAAGTTCTAACCAATATTTCAACTGAGTATAAATGTATATGTTACAATAGTTTTTTAATAACAAGCTGCTGTTACTCTTGAATCGCCCTGTTTATTGTGTAAGAAGGTTAAATTTTTGCCAATGTATCATTCTTTCTAAATATTAGCTATGATTTATGCACCCATATGCTCCCATTTTCGTGAACTTTTGTAGTGATAAATGCATATTGTGTCATCTAAGCTATTATGATGTGGGTGGGGCTAGAAAAAAAACATTTACGCAAACTCTAGACAGGGATTCTATTTTATTATAAGTTGAGTGACAAATGAGTAAAATATTGAAACGGAATAAAAGATTGAAATGTCCTTTATTGTAAATAAAAGAAAACGAACTACTTTGAAAAGAATAAAAATTGCTATTACCTTGAAACTATTTACTTTTTGAGAGCTGCATCAAAAGACTATCACCGAACAAAAGGAAATTAATGAGTTGTCTTTTTTTTCTTCTTTGGTAGTATGGCGTAAATTTGGTCTACTTACTGTTGAATTAAAAAAAAAATTGGATATGAAGCTATGAACGAATCCATTTTAATATGAAGTATTTATAAAATAGGGAAAGGTTCGTAATATGAAACAATTTTTTAACAATTAAGATTAGAAAACAACAATTATTATGATGTTTATGATTATTATATCTAATTTACATGTGACCGAGGGACAATTTCCTACTCCAGCGGCCTTTAAAGACCCCACTCCCTGTTGGTGATTTCTTACATTAAAAAAAAATGTGATTCATGATTTTTTTTTAGTTTAATCTAGAGTCTTATCTTGCGGAATTCATGTGGCGGTAATCTCGTGGGAAAGACAAGCCTTTTGATTTAATATTAAAAACAATCGCGGAGATATGGAAGCCACAAACTAAATGCGAATAGTTCCAGCTTAGCCTTATTCTTGGCGTCCATCCTGCAATGGAGTGATCGTTAAGACACGGTTCCCAGCAGATCACCGAAGCATCACTGGCTGCTGTCAGTGTGTAGGTGGGTGACCACTTGGATTACACTCTGTAGGGATCGGGGGTGTGCGGTATGGGTTCTCGTTAAACTGTTCTACCGTAAAATGCTCGACTTTGCTTGCAGGTCGTCGGGCTACCGAAGCAGGGGAACCACCTCCTCTGCAGAGGACCAATAGCGATGGCATGTCTTCGGATCATCCTCAGGGATGTTTCCAGACCATCGCCAATATCCCATTGTGCAGCTCTAGTGCGACGCAAATGAACTACAAAAACAACAACATTATTGGCGTCGTTTTAACAGCGGTGGAAATGAAGTAGTATCATGTTGGTACTTACCGCAGACCGGTAAACCGACAGGTATCCACGTTCCATTCTCGAAGCAGAGTCTTCTAAGAGGACCCAAGAGATCGAATCCTGGATCACACCTGTAGGTAGCGAGTGTTCCCGTACCTATTGTTTCAGTATTGAATGTAACCGTTGAATGCGACGGGTTACCCGGGTATCCACAAGAGAGAGCTGCAAAATAGAAAACAGAATCCATTAGAACAAGAATGACTTCAATACAAGAAGTTCATGTTTCCTTCACGGATCATCTAAGAAAAAAGTATTGGATTTCTATTTTTAAATAATAATTAGCTCAAAAATATGTTATCTTCAATAGAAATATCACTTCAATCATCATTTTTGTGGAACGCTTGAAGCGATAACACAAATCATTTAACGAGATCACTATAATTATGGAAGAGTGACTTTGTTGTTCATGGGTGAAAACATTTCTTCTTCGTCTCTCTTTTTAAAGTTTTTTTTAATAATGAAGACATAGTTTTTTTAAGCGTTAGCAACTTATGGTTATTAGTATTTAACGCGTTGACTGTCATCAGCATTCTAGGTGATGTTATCTTATCTTTTCATCTAAGGCGCTTTCCTTTAAAACACTAGTAACATGGACATTAGTCGGAATAATTAAAGCTCTAAGTAGTAACGTAATTAATATATTCTAAGGGGAGTTACAGGTTTTACTTCAGCCCTAAGTTGCGTATGATAAATTTAGAAAAAAAAAGCGTAGCTGTTGTTTAACTTTTGATCAAATGATCCGTTTTGATCAAATGAAGTTCAGTCCTAATATTTAGTTTGAGGAGTTGACCTTAAATGACCTTAAAGATGTATTAGGTAGTCCCAGTAATAGTTTCAGAGATATGGCGAAATAATCAAAATCCCAACTAAAATATTTTCCAGATTGCGGCTATCCAACACCTCCTAGAACAGGGATGGCGAACCAATGGCACGCGTGCCATTTATGGCACGCGACACAATATTTTGGGCACTCCACTGATCACAATTGTTGTTACACTATGAATTGTTATTACACAAATGCTATGGCACTATGAAGCATATGTAACAATTAAATTAAAATTCACAAAAACGAACAAAATAATAAACAATTATTAATAAAAAAAATTAAAAATTAATACTAAAAAAACAATTAATGACCGTAAAAAACAAGCTAACAGTAAATAACCAGCAAAAAAAATCAACAGTCCTGCTTAAACTAACATCTTACAACCTAATATAAGTTATTGGTCATCTAATCTGCAACAACAGAAGTCACACTGATATTACTTTAAGTTGAATTGTATAACTGAGACATTGCAAAATGTTTTTTTTCTTTTTTCAATGTAAGTAAGGAGTTTTGAGTTGATAGTATTTAGTATTATTATTTTCCCAATAATCACGAAGTCAGAATTATTTCACGGCACGTCTATGACCTCATTAAGCAATTTTTTAGAAAAAATGGCACGTTGGTGTATAGAGGTTCGTCACCCCTGTCCTAGAAGAATAAAGTCCTCTGCACGGATCAATTTAGTAGTCTGACGTGACGAACATAAACTGCGCAGCGGATGAAAAATAAGAAAGATGTCATTACGTTTGGACTACTAAAGGATCCAATTTCTGGTGTATCGTAACCCGCGCTGAGACCTTCTCTTTCTAGGAGGTGTTGGGCTACCCCCTACCCCTACTTTGAGTTAAAAATTCAAATCCGTCCAAAAGCAAAAGAGGCATGTCTAAAAGAAAGTACGTTTTTGTGTGTGATTTCGCAATTATTTGTGATCCTTTTTAATTATTATTATTATTTGTTATTATAACTGTCAGTATTTCGAAACATGTCAATAAAGAAAAAATTTATTCTTACAATTGCAAAATAAACGATATAATAATCGGGGCCTTAAACTTATTTCTTATTTTCCTAAATGATTACGAAAAAACTGAAACATCCCTTAAAAAATGATGAAAAAATGACGTGTTTTTATTTAAGACTCGACGCAAAATGGCAACAACTTTTCCCGAATGATAAGAGCGCCACGTAACGACTAAAAACTTTGTTATCCATATTTTGATATCGTTTTCTTTTATTGTTTTTAATTGAATATGGAGTTCGCTGTAGTAGTTCGGTAGTTTGTTTTATTTTAGTTCTATAAAATGCTTAGATGTTAATTCGTAAGGAATTTCTCGTGTTAATGAAGACAAAAGTAAAATTTGTGAAGTAAATTACTATTTATTTTTTAAATATTTTAAAATCACACCATTTTTCATCAGCTTAAATTTGTTTCAATGTTGAATAAAATACAGTTTTATAATTATATGGATGACGCGCATCATTCATCTTTTCCAGCTATTGGAAGAATAAATACAAAAAATCGCTATTAATGAAGATTTTTTAATTTGATCTTTATAGTTAAATCTATTGTAGGGCAGAATGAAACAAACAGGAGTAAAGACAAATAGGACCGAAACACTTTTTACGAACAATCGAACTAAATTCTAAAGATTTGGAAAATAGAAAATTTTATGCTTCTATATGAATGCACTAAATGAAAAATCATAAATTCCCTCAAGCCTATCTTTATTCAACCAACAACTATCTTTATTAAATAATGATAATAACAGTGAAGTACCCATTTATACTACAAGTATAACAGTATACATGTAAACAAAAATATCACCTTAGTATTAACTACCAATATACAACTGCTAAGTAGTAGTTATATATTAAGTTATATAACTATAATGTATAACTACTAATTATAAACCACACAAGTATACAAAAATATTTCAGAAGCACTGAGTTATAAATCGCAGAGTGTCAATTAATCCACAGTATCCACTAACTATTTTCTTTTAATGTTGCTAGTGGGCGCATTGCCCCGTTGAGGGAGGAGAAACTTTAAGAAAAATACGTTTTTTTATTCTAATTTTGACATGGAAAAAGTGGCACGTTGCTATGTAACAACTCTAGACTGACCTCTTAGGAGGTAGGTCATTTGTCAATATTGCAGTTCTGAAATATATAATTGTGTTTTCAAAGAATATGAGAGTCAAGTAGTCACTGCAGTTTTAAAATCATTCTTAATTCTAGCATGCTAAGAGGAAAAACCCAATTGTTTGTATGAATTAACATTTGAATAGAACACAAGAAGTTAACTGCTGTTTTCAAACACAAGAAAACATTTAAAAAATATATAATTAATTGTCTATTTGACAAGTTACAAGATTTTTTAAATCACGTTCTTACCGTTGAAGAGGAAGTGGATTTGCTTTTAATAAGACTAATTAAAAGATTATTTCAAACATTTCATTCTTCTCCACAATTGTTAGGTGTGTTTATTTTTGACGTTGTGTAACATGCCTAAACATTAATCTGTTACATACAACTTTATGTTTGTTTGTATGTTTCCTTATACATATCTACAATTCTCGACTGATTTTAAAGTAATCTACAATTCTCGGCCTGCAAATTCAACTGTTTAACATAAAACGCATAATTTTAAAACTATTATTGATAAAACGACGATTGAAAGAAACTTTATTCTAAGTGCTTTTCTTGAAAAAATTTTCTCAATTAATTTTGCTTTACGTTGCATTTTGCTTTGCGGCTCAAAATCTGTAAGACTTACAAACTCTAAAGCACGAAAGTGCATAGAAAAATGTAGTAAAAAAAACAGCTTGGGTCGATTTACTGTCCGATGAAATGCAACTACAGAGTTGAAATTTGACGTCTGAATGGGACCATTTTGAATGATAACTTTAACCAGAGTTCTTTTTTTTTCTTTCGAAGTTCCTATTTGGTTCGAAAGCTACTGCAATTTTAAATGTTTTTTTTTTAAAATTTCTTTTCTGTGAATGGTAATTATTTATCCATAGTTGCAGAAAACTTTTATCACGCTCGCAATTTGCATTTTATGAGCTCCCGCTTGACTTAATGTCAAAAGTGCTAAAAAGGGAAAGAATAAATAAAAAATGAGTGGTTAGATGCTGCCAGATATAAATTTTATCACTTATATCGAAATTTTAAAAAATATAAAGACAGAAGAGCGAGAAAAACTGTCACCAATGCGAATTGTTATATGATATAAGTTTATCGTTATGTATTGTTAACAATTAAAATTACTTTTCATTTAATACTGTTTAATATGTCGTATATTCTGTATTCCTAAAGGTCTGGTTTCTTAGGACAAGCGCCTTATCTGAGCGTCAGCGGGACGTCAACGTCCCGCTGACGCCAACAAAATACTGGTTTGTTAGCTCAAGGCCTGGTTTCTTAGAACTAGCGTCTTATCTGGGCGTCAGCGGAAAGTTGGCGTAGAGCTGACGCCTAAAAATACTTTTTTGTTAGCTCAGCGTGAGCAGTCGGTTCAACGCAGACATTATCTCTCGTTGCGCATGCGTTAATAACGTAAACAAATATTTATTTTGAATTTGCATTGATTTTGTTATTGCCGACCAGTATTTTAGAGAACAAATAATGACTTAGTCCAAGAAAAAACACATTATAGCTGAGTTAAATGAAGAGTGCTATGTTTAATGAAGAAGCTATGTTTAATGTCAATATCAAAATCTTGGGTGATTTCAATGTGCTGTTGGATGTTGTCCGCCATTGCTTCTGTGGTTAACGTCACGTTGTAATCCAACTGCAGTTGAGTTGGACGGCAATTGCAGTTCAAGATGAGCGTTCGATGACGTAGACTATCAAACTCACAAATGGACCAATCAGAGGTTAGCGCTGATTTCCAGCTGACCGCGTCCTGTCCTAAGAAACCAGGCCTTAAGTTAAATTTTTTTCAAGTGCGTTTAATTATTTTTCCATTTCACTTATCCTTTAACTTCGTAACGATTAACATATTAATAAAATGTGCTTGCATAAAATTACAATAATTAGATATTTCTGAACAAGAATATCTTTTTTAATCGACTATTAAGAAATAAACTTAATACAAAAACAGTTTACGTCCTTTAAAGCTAATTCCAGGAAGAAAGAAAAGCGAATTTTCGCACGGACAGGAACAGTTTTTCCACATCACGGCCTCTTCACCGAGTAACAACTGCCGGGGAGGTGGGAGAACCGATTTTCCATTTCCGATTTGCCAAAAGTCAGTCGTCATCGAAATGCAACAGATAACAAAACATTCGTAATCTTGTAAAAAAATAGGCATAAACCTTGATCTTCAATGATAAATGAA